TGCATACTTTTCTCGTCATTTTGGTACTTTTCTCACTTCTTACCAATTAAATACACGCAAAAGACTCACAGATCCATTGAAGGAATTAAAGAGCTTAAATTTAATATATAGAAGTTAGTTAAATATAATTAGATTCTAATTTTTGTGTTAAACTCAACTAATAAAACAATTGTTGAACATGCAAGAAATAAAATTTATGATACAACTTAACAAATTTATCTAGTAATGGTGGTACGAGAATAGACTACAGTGACGGTACTATCTTCCTTCAGAAGGAAGGTTGGAAATTGGTAAAGCGACAATGTTGCAGTGAGAATGTGAATGAGTCGATGGGTAGTGACATTTTACTCGTCAATTTGGTGTTTAGGTAGAGTTGAGCCCTTATTTCAATTTTTAAACACTAAACACTAAAGTAAACAACTAATCCTTGTTTTAATTTTGTTTACCCTTACCGATTCGGTTCGGTATTATGGTTCAAAATCGATATTGAAACAATAGTGATTAGGTACAGTTTGGTTTATTTTCTCGTCGGTTCGGTTTTCTATAAAAAATTGTCAGCCCTAAATTATCGTCCCACGCGATACAACCGGCTACATTATACTGCGCCCAAAGTTCCTCTTTTACACAATTTCAAGAGGATAACCAGAGGACACAACTTAAAGGAAAATAAAAAAGACATTATGTGGCATTTGTTGAAGCCTCTTTTTCTTCATCATTGGTAAAAGGTATGGGTTTTGTGGGGGCAGGCAAGCGGCCAATGCTATCGACCTTATCTTTCTGTTTGGGAGGTGGCCTTGCTGCTCTTGGGAGTAACCTACCCTTCTTCTCAAACCATTCGGGCTTCAGCAGGGCCCGTAACCCTAGTTTGTTGTAGTACACTCTCCTCACAGACCCACCAGCCGCCTCAACTGCCGCTTTTGCCCTCACGGTCACCCTAGAAACCTAATATACAAAATGAAGAGGATTTAGTGGGGCACAGGAAAGAAAGTGAAGAAGAGAGATTTTACCTCGAGGTGGATAGGCCATTTAATGTGTTCGGCCCCACGTCCCATCACTCGAACTCCATCTTCGATTTGCTTCCCTATTGCTCCTGAATCCTTTTTGACATGGAAAAAGAGTAAGTGAACTCTGAAGAATCTGTCATGGGGGGGCATGGTTAAGAATCTTAGTTATAAACCGTACCTTGAGAGTTTTCATTGTGATCAACTCTGAAGAATCTATCTTCCCAGCATTTATCAGTTTTGCAATTTTCCCTAACCCAACAGGCTGCAAAAGTGACAGCAATGTGAAGGATACTAATTTAAGTGGCATCAATGAAAACTTTTCTTGATATACTTAGAAAGCTAAATTGTGAAGTCAGAGCTTATATGAACAGTTACCTTTTTTTCAAAACACATTTTCATTTTATTAAAAACCTGTGTTCAATGTCTACACCTGCCTACTTTCGCAACACATTTTCATTATACAATAAACCTGTGTTCAAATCGGAAAAAACTGCTTAGTTTCTATAAATGGTAAAAGTGTCATCCATCAACAATTTAAAAGGCAATCACACTAAGATTGTCTCAAAATTAATGAACCCTTTCCAGTCATTACGCGGTGGAGGGGAGATCAGAACTCAGAGCGTATATGAACAGCATTGTCTTTTTGACAACACGTTTATATGAACAGCATTGTCTTTTTGACAACACGTTTTAATTTTATTATAAATTGTGTTCAAATACTTTATTAATCGTAAAAAAATGCCTAGTTTCTGTAATTGGGAAAACTCTTGGGAAAGATGATCAGCTGCACATTTGCTATTCACTAGTAAAACGAGAAATTTATAGGTTAAAATTTGCAATCAATGTGAACATATATCAGTTAAATTCCAGTGATACACAATTCCCATTATCATCTCATAAATTAGGTAAAGATCAAGCACAACCAGGATACTAAAACGAGAGGAGAGGAGATAACACTATTTTGGTCACATACACAGACTTCTTTCATTACAAGTTGTGAGTGACACGGCAACAAACCACCAATTCTCAGAAATAATATCACAATGTACCACATATGTATTTTTCTCCAGTAACAAACCGTTTTTATTTCTCCATCAACCTTTTTCTTTATAGTAATTTTATATGTGAGTGTCATCAAGTATCGGCTTACCTACAAATGCATGCATAAATTAAGCTAACATATCTTGTAATTCAATTGCCACATTACGCCATTATCCAGTATTTTTCGAGTTCATTCCTCTTTTCCATGGAAGTTCACTCAACACGAAACAAATGATCTAGGACTACATTTTTCATTCATGTTGAAACAAATAGATGAACAGAAGAAAAGGAAACAGCTCAATCAACCTTAAGAAGATCAACTCAAGCAATAAATAGAGAATAAACAGTCACATTGGAACAAAATGCAAGCTCAGAACCTTCCTGTGAGCGAAAACAGTGCATAGAGATACAAAAAAGAAGTTATTGAGTCAACAACTGAATTGCACTAAACTCTATAATATTTAGCGAAAATGACTAATTACACAAGGAGTCACGTCACGGTTAATAAGCTGAGTGAAGTTTTTATTTTTATTTTTTATTTCTAAAGCTATTACTAATTTAGTTAGCTCCTTCAACTTTAGTATCTGTGCTAAAATTCATACAGAAATTTTCAAAACATCATGAGAATGCAGATGGAATGATGATTAAATATGCACATTTTCCACCCTTTCAGCCCAATTTGAATATCAAAGAAACTTTGTGTACCCATCCTTCTTAATGTTGTTATCTTCATGAAAATCTTGAAATTAGTAAGTAAGATGCCCAACAAATAAAGGTGCTTCAAATAAAACACCTGAAACGTGAGAGTGAAGGGATTCTTAAAGCCCCTTTTGGGGAGGCGTCGACGGAGTGGCGTCTGGCCACCTTCGAACCCAAATTTCATAGTGCCGCGGGCTTTTTGACCCTTGTGCCCACGGCCCGCAGTCTTTCCCTTACCCGACCCGATTCCCCGCCCCTTGCGAGTTTTCTGCTTTCGAGCCCCTGGATTGTCCCTCAAATCGTTCAACGCCAATAGGCTGCTGTAAGCCCTCACACCACCACCAGGATGACAGCTGGAGATGGAAATATGATCCTGGCATTGCTGAAAATGCAGCGACACAAACTGTAGGGGTGCGAGATGGGAGGTGGGTTTAAGGTAGTGATTCTGGGAAGTACGGATGGAGGTGGGTATAAGTGAAGCTAACCTTCGTCTCAGCATTTTTTTCAAAATCTATTGGATTTGTGCAGCAGCGTTTTTTGAAGATGAAAAATCATGTCACTCAGAGCTCCATCCAAAGCTAGGGTTTAATTCAATTATCTATGTGCAGATGACTCGGAATAGTTTCTCAATTTTCATATATTTTTATGATCATATAAACTTACTTTTTTAGCAAAACATTTTATTTGCAATTCTATAAAGATGTCAGAGATTTCATAGGAAATTAAGCCTATTTATTTCATATAGAATTCAGAATTCTGAGTATAATATATGTTATTAAGCCTATTTATTTCATATAGAATTCAGAATTCTGAGTATAATATATGTTATATTATAATTTATTACTAATGAAAAATAACGCTAAAAAATAATGTAAGGAATAAAACACATGTATACATAAGAAACTTTAATTTTAATTCTTATTTTTAACTTTTAATTCTTTGTAGCCACTTTTTTAATAAGTTATAACTCTTTTAACCAATTTTTTAATGAGATACACTTGAATTTAACTATTTTAATTTCTAGCCATTTTTTAATAAGTTACAACTCTTTTAACCATTTTTTTAATGAGATACACTTGAATTTAACTTTTCTAATGAAAAGCTAGAACTCTTTTAACCATTTTTTTTAATAAGATACACTTTGAATTTAACTCTTTTAAAAAAAATGCGAAATCGAACTATAAATAATTTCTCAATTTTAAAATCATTGAAATAATATAAAACATTTCATATCTTTTAGGTTAGTAGGGTAGTTTATATATAATTTGTTTACATATCATTTTGATGACATTATAAGATTGAGCGCAAATAATCGAAGGATGCAAATAAATTTTTAAAACTGTGTAGGATAGTTAATAACATTATATACTTTTATATCATACCTAACCTATTATTATTTTTTACATAAACTTCATCTAAAACACGAGCATGGCATTAATCTACATATATAATTCTAGATAAAGAATTTAATGCAAATATATATTTTTTTTGCTCATTTTTTTTTCATTATATATATATATATATATATATATATATAAAGAGGAGCAACAAAGCATTTATTTTTATTATCATACATTAAATTTTATTCTCATGCATTAAATTTTATTTTCTCTCCAAAATTTTCAGCATTCAATTTCATTTTTAAGTTACAAAATAACTTGATTGAATGCCATAAATTATGAGCATAAACCAATCAATTGTACTCAAATTTTAAGTTACACCCACTCATGAAAATGGCCGGGTGTATTAGCATAAAGAAAATTGTTGTAACGGCTCTCCTATAACAATTACTTGATCAAAATCAATATTGAGAATTATTTTCTTAATTCATATTGTTTTTCATGAATTAAATTATAATTTTTTTTTTATCTTTTTAAAGTATTCGTCTATGTGCAAATGCACAGGTTGATTACTAGTAGTATGAAATCGTTACATTTTGCATTAATCAAAGATTACTAAAATATTTAAATTACATTATTGCAATTAATATAATATTTAAATCATATTATTGCAATTAATATAATATTTATATTTAAATACATTATTGCATTTATATTTATATGTTCTTTTTACTAATTATAAAATTTATAAATGATATGCTCATTATCAAACTTATGATTTTAAATGTCATATATTAACATATAATTTATAGATTTTTATTTGTATTTATGCATGTGCACACGATTGATTACTGTTCATTAATTAACAAAAAATACAATATAATGATTACCAACATTTTTATTGGGCAAACCATGATATTTTTCGGGGGATCGTGGAATTTTGACCTCATTAATCAAGTATTCCTTCCTTTAGACGCTGAAAAAATTATTTCTATTCCGCTCGGTGACCAAATGAGTGCGGACCGAATAATTTGACATTTTACGAGCAATAGGAACTATTCGGTGCGCATTGGCTACCAACTTCTTAAAAATTTAAATGGGGCTTCCGTGGGTTCGAGTGCACAGGTTAATGTCCTCTGATGGAAAACGCTTTGGAACTTTCGCCTACCCCCAAAAATTAATTTTTTTTTTTCTCGGAGTTATCACTCTTAGCTTTTCCCTCTTGTGTAAATTTAACTCGGAGACATATTGTTCTAGATAACAGGTACTGGCGTTTGTTGGGTTCTATTAGGAACGTCGGGTAATGTGCACATTCAAATCTATTGAAAAATAAATCGTAACGCAGCAGAATCTATAGTTAGGATTAGGACTTACGGTTTAAATTTTTTGCCGACTTTGAGACGTTTCTAATTTCTTCTGTAGAAGATCGTCTGAACCGCTGAGTTCGTTGGGTAGTTGGACTAGGCCTTCTCGGTTGGATTCGGGTCATAGGGACACGAACGGGTCACCGAGGACTTGGCTTGTCGGGCTCGGGCCGGTCGGACGTCGATTGGGCTCGGTTGGGTCCCTGCGGGTCGCGACTAGACTCAATCGAGATGCTGCAGGTCAGATGCGAGGGCTGGCTGCGCATCGGGCACTGGGCTGGCCTCGCTGGGCGTTGTTGCTTGAGCATGCGACATCGACTGGCTGCGTGCGGATGGGCGCAGGTGGCTTCCGGCGGCGACAACGATTTCCTGTGGCGGTGGACGGTGGCAGACGACGGTGGATCTGGCTGAAATTTTGAGATCTAAAAGGCTCGACTTATTTTACCTTAAGATCTTCTAATGTATTACCTAAACATCTATTCCGAAAAATCTCGGTGGGTGATTTTTCAGATCTCCCGAACTCTCAATATATAAAACACTCGATTTTCTTCTTCATCTCGGAACCTCAAAACCGGCGTGTGTGTATATGTATATGAAAGAGTTCAAAACATGGTGTATCTATAGGCTATATTAGGGACCTTAAGAAGGTGCTAAATATGGACTTATCCTTTAGGTTTGAGGATCCTAATCATGTTCCATATCATTTTCTATCTAGGATAATATTCTTCCTAACACCTAATTACCTTCTAGAAGACTCCATAGTCTCCTAACCCTAGGTAATATTCTATAAGGAATATTCTTCTCGTTAAGAAATCTTATTTATGGAATATAATTAATTCCTAATTCCTAAATAGAATTAAATAATAAAATATTCAACCAGAATAATATTATTACTCTCCCCATTTAGCTTCAATTTATTTAATAAAAATTCGAACCTCACTTGATTAATTAATAATAATCTAATTGACTGAATTACCTCCTTATGTTTAAGATACAACGTCCGTTGATTAATTAAATTACTGACAAAATAATTAATCAACTTCTTATTCATTTTCGAAACTAGTGCCACTCAGATATTTAACCATTGTGTCGGATACACATCCACCTGCAGGGCTTGACATAATATTCCTTACTAAGCTCATTTCAGGGACATCATCAACCCAGCGCACTGGGACATAGTGACCATAGATAATTTATAACAACACATCATATAAATACCCTTATTTACCAAAGTACCGAGTATATCATCCTAACGGAATAGTAATCACCATTGGTACATCAAATAAAGAAGTAATAAATATATATGTTTGTTTTATATTATCTTACAGCTTTAGAGAACGCATCAATTACCGAAGGTCTAGATTACAACTACGATCAGTGAGTCTCATAATCTTATCCTTCTGCGGTCCTATTCAATACTTATCATAAGTATTAGTGCAAACCTTCAGTCAAAAATAAACTGAATCCGGATCACACTACAGTCTTTTTCCAAGAGGGTCTCAATACCTGTCTAGACTGTGAACGAATATTTTAGTCTTACAAGGAACTGATAGATGATCTTTATGTTCGAGACACCACGAACCATACTATCTCAATGTAAAGGAGTATGATTGCATAAATAAATAAACTGCAAGCATATGTACTTTAACAAAAACATTATTGCCAGATCAAAATAGAATCGATAGAATCTGCAAACCGAGATTTTACAGCATACCACTAACAACGTTGTGGCTCTAGAGAATCAAACTATAATCTCTTTTTCGATTGTTCCTGGGCTAAGAAATTGTGGAAATATGCGGGATTGGGGGGGCGGGGGGGAAGGGTTATCTCGTGCCTCCAGAGAAGGGACTTTATTTCCTTATTCTTAGATATTTTATCGAAAGGCCGAGATATGGACTTTAAGCAATTTGTGGTTGAACTATGGCTTGTTTGGCACGAATGTTTGTCACAGTTTAAAATCAAAGAACCCGAATCAAGTTTGGGAATTTTGGTTATCTTGGTTGAAAGAGATTGACTAGGCTCAATCGGGCTTGCTTGATAATGTCCAGAAACCATGCCATGATTTGTTTTACTGTTGGCAAAGACGAGGAACATGTAAGAATAGGTGGACTCATTTGTGTGATACAGTAGTCCGGGATACATATATTGGACTTGGGGGATGTATTCGGGACTCGGATGTCATTTGTCACTTGTCAGGTTGCCTTCACTATGTATTTTAAGGGCTTTTTTTTCTCGTCTACTAGCGGAAGTTTTGGCTATTCAATTTTACGTTTTGTCCGAGATTTCGACTTCAAACTTCAGGCGGTTTTGACGATTCTTTAGGTGTCGTAGGAGGACTCATTCAAATAGAAGCATGTGACCCTCTTTTTGAGGTATTTTCTGATATACGGTAGCTCCTATCAATCCTAGATTGCAGTGCATGCAAACACATACTCCGAGCAAAGAATTAGGTCACCCATAAAATTGCGAACTGAGCGACAGTATCACATTGCTCTTGCTTTTGGAAGGATTCCCGTCTTATTATATTTCCTCCTTTTTTTTTAGGGATGTATTAAATTTATTTGCTTCAATGCATTGTTTAATATAAAATAAAAAAAAATGATATTAATTAGCAACAACTCTAAAGTTTGTTTAGTTTGGGTTTTCTACATTGATTCAAAGCTGAAAAACCACCAAACTCATTTCCCTCCTCCAGCTCACATCCAGCAATTTTCGGATCACCTCTAACTTTGTTTTGTTTTTTTTCTTTTTCAAGTGTTTATTTTTACATTATTTATATCTGCACTTTTCTTCTTCTCCCTTCATCGTTGTCGAATTTCTTTTTCATCGATTAACTTCTTAAGAAAAAAATGAGTTCTGGAGAGCTTCTTAGCGTCGAACCGTTGGAGTTGAAATTCCCATGTAAGTACGCTCACCTATGGACGATTTCACTTTGCATTGAAGCATATTTCTAAGATTCTTTTTTTT